GGTTTTAGGAGGAATACACAGAATTGATAGAACCCAGTATATCATAATATAGAAGTGTTGGCCATCCTCCCAGATAGCGCTAGTGGTAAAGAACCCACCCACCAATGCAGGAAATGCAAGAGATGCAGGTTTAACCCCTGGGTCAGAAAGATCCCCTAGAGGAGAGCATCACAACCCACTCTAGTGTTCTTGTTTGGGGAATCCCATGGACAGAGAAGCCTGGTGGGCTGCAGTCCATAGGGTTGCAAAGAGTTGCATGCACACATTCTCAAAGGTTTAGAGTCCTTGAGTCTTTACACAATGGTCAGTGCACATCTCAAAGAAGCACAACAAAGAGCCAGTGGGAATATTAAATTTTAAGGCAGGACGGTTGGTTCTTGTTAGCAGTACCAAGGGATCTTCTCGTATCACAAATAAAGGGGTTATCCCCCAAGTAGGTCAGCATGGCATGAAATACATGAAATGTGATAGGAATTACTTTTCTGATCCACTTTTTGAATTGCCTATGCTTTTTCTGTCTGCATTTTCATTTTCAGTACACAGGCTTTGTTTCTTTTTTTAAAAAAAATTTGTGGTGAGCTTCAGACACAATAGTCTTTTGTAGCAGATGTATAAGGAGCAACTAACAACAAAAAGGATGAGATGGTTGGATGGAATCACTGACTCAATGGACATGAGTTTGAGCAAACTCCAGGAGAGTGAAGGACAGGGAAGCCTGGAGTTCTGCAGTCCATGGAGTTGCAAAGAGTCGGATACAACTTTGTAACTGAACAACACCGAAGACATATATCCATAGAATTCTTATGGAAATCAATTTTTTTTAAATAAAAGTAATCTTTAATTGGCACTACTTTAATTCTCTAAACAATGTTATAGTAGTTGTCCACATTTTGAAATTGCCTTGTTTGGTACTTGAATGGCATGAAAAATTTCCCTCTGCTTCCCTCCCTTCTCCCAAGGGTCATTTCCCCCACTCTTTTCTCTGCCCTGCCTGGCCTCTGACCTGCCCAGCTCTGCTGTTTCCACAGACTTCTGAATCTAATTAATGTCTTAGTAGCTATATAAGTGAATTATGTAGGCAGGAGGATGTTGGAAACTTTGAGGAAGGTACATTCCTTAGGGAAAACATGGTTTGTTTAAAAAAAAAAAAATCCAGAAGGCTGCTCAGGGAGGGGGCAGAATGTCAGTTAAAGGTAAACTATCAGTAACATTGTTACACTCATTACATATCTGCTGCCTGATGAGCAGAGACAAGCTTAGGCGCATCTCTTTTGACATGTGGGCAATAATCAGCCATTATGGAATCTGGCTGAAGGGACAGATAGTCTGAATATGCCCCTACTGCAAACTGGCCTCGGCCACACAACTGGGGTACTGGCATTCCCTCTCCTCCCATCCCTTTTCTAGTCAGTTCTCAACCATTCCTGGGGAGTATGTCCTTAGATGATCTCGGAAATGACCCTGGCTGAAGATTCTCCAACTCTTCAGAACGTGGGCAGGCAAGGGGGAGGGGCCAGAGGATACTGCCAGAGAGCCCAAGGCAGAGATGGTCCCTATGCCCCAGGTTTCCATGGAAACATAGGAAGAGTGATGACAGCCAGCACAGCCACACCATCTGCTCAGGACCCGGTGAATGATGAAAAAGATAGAAAAAGAAAGGCACCTCAGATCCCAAGCTAGAGCCACTCTAAGATAGCAGTGGAGAGGAAAGCCCGGAGGACTCTTGAACTCCCAGGTGGATTAAAACTGGAGCTGTCTGGGGAGGCTTGACATGTTAGCATGTCATTTGCAAGCAGAATGCCTAGAGGGCTGATCCTGCCATCCCTACAGACAAACACAAGCATCCAAGAAGCCTCAGGAAGGAGACACAGACTGATCACCGCACGCCGGTGCCATCCACAGTCTGGCCGAAACAGGAGGGAGGCTGTGGTGAAAACAGTGCTGGCGGAGGCGGGGCAGGGTGCCCACCACCTTCCTGCAGGACCACCTGCACCACTGACTTTTGGCCAGGCATATCCTTCCAGAGGAATGGTGGGATCGGAAAAGGAAAACTCCCACCTGGTCACAAAAGACCTCTGAGCTGCAGCCAGGTCTTCAGAATAAGGCCTGAATTAATAAAGCCATGTAAAGGCTCTTTTCTCTCAATTCGTATCCAAAAGGTGATCTTAGTTGGATACCACAGGTTTACTTCTGGGTCTGTTTAGGAGGTTTCCAGTTCCAGGCTGGCAGAATGTAGGTGAGGCCCTAGCTAAGTCCCCTTGAATGCCTGCCCCAGACTGAGTGGGATTCATTTCTGAGTCCTTTTCATTCAGAGATGTGGCCTAAACAAACAAACCTGACCTAGGATGCCAGCAGCCCCTCTCACGTAGCTGCCTCCCCCGGCTGCTCTCTGAAGCTGGGCGCTTTTGTTGAGCTTTCTGTAGTAGTGTCTCATTTATCTCCAGAGAGAGAGAAGTCCCTCCAGCCTGACAGCCTTTACTATGCACAGAAACTATATCAGCTTCATAGGAAATACCAATTTATTTTTATTTTTAACAAAGGTTATCTCTTACTCCTTTACAAAAAAAAAAAAAAAAAATCCTTCCTTTTAGTTCTGGCATTTGAATCCCAGGGTGTCCAAGCACCACCCTCCCCACTCTCCCCTGCCCCGCCCCCCACACACACTTTTTGGTGCTTTTTACTAAGGATTGAGCATTTTGACATAAGTGCTTGCTTTGGTATGTGTACCAAAACATACCACTGGCTGGAGGATAGTAAGAACAGCTTAATCAACCTGATAAATAATAATAATAATAAGACCACACTATAAAAGCTCTCATTAACTGTTCTACATTTTACCTGTGAATGATATAAATTTCTTTCCATGACAACTTAGCAAACTGGCATCTATTGATACAATACTATTTGAGTTTTTTCAAAAGGCCTTATTGTCCCACTGGAGACTATACACAAAAACTGGAAATAAAAGTGTTCATGTAACTTCCCCTGTGTTAGAGGCCCCAGACTGAAAACATGAGCTATTCCTGAAGAAAAAAATGCCTACTACCCACAGTGAAATTGCTTTAGGTTCAAATTTACCCACGCATGAGCACAAGAGACTCCGTGTTTAAATTCAAATAGAAATCTATCTAACCATTCCTCTGTGGCTTTGGGGGAAGAGGTCTTTTATGAGGGAACCACTCTGCCAGCTCCTTACCCGTAGGGCTTTCTCCTTTCCATTTTCCAGGATCGTCCATCTATCCTAAGCTTCCATGGTGTGGGCAATTCTGTATCCTGAGCTTAGGCCCAGGATGGGAGTCCCAGTAAACATGGTTCTGTTTGTTCTTCAGCCTTCCTCCACTGTATAAACAGACATGTGGGAAGGGAAGGGAAGGGAAGGGAAGGGAAAGGAAGTCAGATCCCTGAGAAGGGTGGGAGGTCTTTCTGGAGAAGCTTCCCGGCACACAGCCGGCAGCCCTTAGCCCAGGGACAGGACGCTCCTCTTGTTGGGGAGTGGAACTTGCAGCTGTTCCAGAGCGGGGCTGTTTTCTTGAGCTCTCCTCCACCCTCCACAATGCCCCTCGCCCCTCCGTCTTTGTTCCTGGGAACACTGTTTGGATGCTTCAGCCATCTCACTTTTGCCAGAGCAAACATTTGCAGCAAGGCTTATGCTAAGGAGACGTTGAGAAGACAGATTCCCCCTCCCTCCCAGTCTCTCCAAATACACCCTGGACTGGGTCCTGGGAAGAGTGCTTCACACCTATGTGTTCCCCCATATTCACATTCTCTTTGTTCCTCCTAGCCTTGTTACTACCTTCAACTAATGAGGGAGGTCTTTAGGGGCTGGGAGTTATCAGCTTGTAAAATAACAATTCTTTTCCCTCAAACTGTGTTGAGGGAAATTCCTTTCTGTCAGACTCTGCCTTCCTTTACTGTTTTACCTTCTGCACATTAGTTATGGATGCTAATAAAGGAAGGACTACATGGGAGCTGGGGGAAGGCAGCAGGGGGCTGAGCGTTTTTGTAATCCAACCCCAAACAGGAAAGAATTCTCCTTGGTCCTTTCTTCTCCTGCATGTGCTCCGGACTTAGTTTGTTAATCCTCATTCAGAGGTCAGGGAGGTGAGGAGGGTATAATTCCTAGGCTTGCCTCCAGATGGAGGGATCCTGTGACTGACTTCTACCCAAGGGTCTAGATTTCTGGCAGCCTCCGGGAGTGGTTCCTCTTGTCTAGAATGAACAAAAGGGGAGCGTGTCAGAAGACTCCCTATGGTAGGGCCTTGGGGGGTTGGGTGCAAGGGATGGGTCTTACTCTGCCCTGTACTGCTCTCTCCAGGAAGTCTTTGGGAGCTTGGGCCAGGCTCCCAGCGCTGTGGCCAGGAGGACAGGAGAGTCAGGAGACAAAAGAGAGGTTCTGGGTTTTGGCCAGCTGTAGAGAAACAAACAGGGCTAGGGCGCTGATGGAGACGCCGGCTTCTCATCCCTTACACAAAAGCAAGGGAGGGGGAAGTGATCTTTAAAATCCAGGAAGTAGTAATAATAATAAGAACTTGGGTTTTTAAGAGCCACAGTGACACTCTTTTCATTCTTCTGTCAGACAGAAGATAGGGCTGGAAGTTTGCAGTCAACCCCCAGAGGCCTGTCCGCCTTCCCTGAAAGAAATAGAAAGGAGATGGGTTTCCAGGGTCCGGCCAGCTGGAGCACTGGGGATGGGGGTACCTTCCTCAAACTGCAGGTCCCCTCAGAAGAGGTTTCATCCCCGACCCCCTTGATTTAACGTAACTTACTGGCTCCAGATATTTTAAGCGGTTTGTTTACGGCGCTACTGCAGGCTGCACCGCCAACTCGCTCCGCGCCTGGAGCGGCCAGGACATCTCCCAGCACCCACTCAGGTCGGCAGCCGCCCCAACGCCCGGCCCGCGGCGGGGAGCGCCCGGCCGGATCAGCTGAAGACCGGACCCCCCAAGTCCCTCCGGCGCGGCCGGGATGCACCTTGAGCGGCGCCTTTCGTTGCAGCGCGCGGGCGGCCCGATCCTCGGCGGCGGCGGCGACGGCGGCGGCGGCGCTGACACCTCCCACCATGGACAGCTTCGACTTAGCCCTGCTCCAGGAATGGGACCTCGAGTCGCTGTGGTGAGTCCCCTGTGCCCGCCGCTTGGGCGGGCGCGAGCGACGAGGGGAGACCGTGGCGGCCCGCGCGTCCTCACCTGGGTCGGGGGTTCCGGCTACCAGCCACCGTGGGGGCGGGGAGGGTCCGGGGCGCCCGCCGCGGTGGCTCCTTCCCGTCTCCCCCGGGGGGAGGCCCCGCCGCCCGCTTGTCTTCTCGGCCCCCTTTCCCGTCTCCTCCGCACGGTGCTGTTGGCCCCCAGCCCCGGGGCCGGTGATCTGGGGAGCCAGGGGCAGAGCGCAGCCTTGATAATGCACCGATTTCTAGAACGTGTCACTAGTGCCGGGGATCCACCCCTCGGTTCCCCCACGCCGCCCCCGCACTTCTCACCTCCCTTCCCTCCGTTTGCGCACCCCGTCGTCACATCAGCGACCCCCTGGAGTTGAGGCTGCAGCCAAGTGCCCTTAGAGGATGCTCCAGCCTCCCGCCTGCCTGCGCCGGGTCCTGGCGGCCGCATCCTTTCTGTCTCTCCCACCCACTCCCACCCGAGATAGAAAGTGAACCCGAGGGCAGTGGGGCGAGTGCTTCTCCGTGCGGGAATTCCAGAGGCCCCGGCCTTGGGAGACTCATTTCCTCGAGGTTCGCAATCCCTGTGGGCACTTTCTTCATACCTCGCCTGGCCACACTCCTGCTGTCCCCGCTCCAGCCCACGGGCGCCCCGTGTGTCCCCTTATTCCTCGCTCACAGCTCGCAGCTTGGGGAGCGGGCGGCCTGGCGGAAGCCCTCTGTGGCTCGGGCTTCTCACATTGAGGAGCTGCTGTAGGTAAAGCGCCGCTGGAAACAGTTTAATTCTAGTTTCGGGTGTGTTAAAAATCCCATTGGCTGCTTCCACATCCCTCTTATCCACCGCCTCCCCCCATCTCCTAAATGTTTCCAACCAGCCCTATTCAGGTGGTAAAATTACTGCCTGCATATTCCTGGAGGAACTTGTGTTATGTTTAATATTTAGGGAATGAACATCTGTGGAACAAGCGTATTAACTGCATTCTGTTCTGCCTCTGGAAATGGCTCATTGTAGAGCTGAGCTTTGGTTTCCCCCACCCCTCCCTTTTCTTCTTTAATTCAGTAAAGAGTTCACATGTGTCTAAAACTGCAAGTGGTGTGCACATGAATATGCAGTGTGCAGTTTTAAAGCTAAACTGCTATTTGATTTATAGATCATATAGATGATTTGTGGATATGTGTATGTTTCCCTTGCTTCATGCTTCCAGTGACTACTCCGTCTAAAACCAGGTGTAACTAACTAAACTGGACACAAAGCTAGTGCATTTCTCCTAGTTTCTTATAGGAGATCCGAGGTTGAGTAAGTGCAGCTTGCTCTGCATAATGCTGGCACCCATAAAATACACAAGGATGGGCCCTAATGTAATAAAAGTTTTATATATTACACTGGAAACTTCAGAGAGTCAGTGTAGAAAGAATATGAAACATGTTATTACTCTATAAAAGTCACTAATTACTGTGTTGTTGCTTCTGGGGTTTTTTCAGTCTTTCATTTATAGATACTTATTACTTTACAGGTTTACACTTTGAAATGTTGGTTTCTGGCACTAATTCAGTAGGTTTGGAGATAGAAACTGCTTTAAAAATGACTTTTGCTTTTAAAAGGCAGTTTTTCAGTCAGAGGAAAGAACTTTTTGTTTTGGTGGGGTTTTGGGCTGCTTGTCTGCTTGCTGACTCAAAACTGAAGCCCCCTTTTGACTCTTACACGGGATATTTTGAAATTATCAGTCATAATCTGTGACTTTTCCAGCACATGCCTAAGCTCTCTTTTCCTCTGCATCTTTATAGTTTCTGGCTGAGTTACCTGGAGCACAGTTACACAAAAAATGTCTGTTGAATTGACTTGAAATTCAAGTCAATTAGCTACAGTACTTTTATTATTTAAAAAAATTAAAAAATAAGCTTTTTTTTTTTTTTAAGTTGCTGTACATGCAGTCAAATTTTAATCAATCCATCAGTTTCTCTTTGGCTTATGAAGCTGTGCAGGCTTTCTTGCTTTCATAGTAGAACACTTTGGCATGACTGAGGGAGCATTTATAGTTTGCATATGCAGAAGTTACATCTTCTAAGAGCTTACATATTTCTGATCAGTTAAGGCAAAACCAAACTCCCTAAGTATACATTTCTAACATGGAATGGATGCTATTTGCTAACTCAGTTTAATGGTTGACTTTTACATTTTTCTGTTTTTAAGTTTACTTTTAAGCTTATAGGTGACCCCAAATAGCTAACATTTGAGTACTTTCTATGGGTCAAAACATTTTCATATCCATTGTTTCCTTACTTGAATCTCATAACAATCCCAGAAGTGGTAAGTGGTAGTAGTCCCATTCTACAGATAAGGAAATAGAGGCCTTGAACTGTAGAATGACTTTACTGAGATCATAAAACAAATGGCAGCAGAATTTTTAAGCTAACATTTACCAGACACATGCTCTAAGTATAGTGCCCGTACTTAGCATCCTTAAACTCTGTTCTAAGTACATTACATGTCTTAACTCATTTAATTTTCACGACAACCTTAGGGAACAACCCAGTACTGTTTTTACTCCCAGTTTACAGATTGGGAAATTGAGGGTTGGGAATATTAGCTGACCTGAAGTGGAGGAGCCATGTTTAAACCAAGCATTAATTTCAAAACTCAACTTTTTTGATTTTAAATCAAATGTATTTTCTAAAGTATTACAGATGTATTCCCATTTTATGAGGGCAGGTCTGGAATTTATTACAAAACAAAATCTTGATGAAGATTCTGCTATAATATTAAAGAGAAGGTCAGAGCCTTTAATTATATTAATTTAAAGTTAAAGATTTGAAAACAAAATACCATGATTTAGGAAATTACATCTGCTGCCCTATTTGAATTAGCTTATAAAATGTATATAAATTTAAAATAGAGACCACTAAAAATTTCTTTCTTTAATCCCTTTTAGGAAAACACTGTTCTTTGGGGTGGAGTTGGTGGGGGGAGAAGGTACTAAGGCAAAAGAGAATGGGATTTTAACAAACAATGTTTTCACTGCTGGATATCATTTTCCAATAAAACAAATTTCAGTTTATTAGTTGTGACTGTGCCTTTGAACCTGAGCTAGCTTAGTCTAGTGGTCACTGGGAGCATCCCCAAATGACTGTAGAGACAGTATGAACTAAAGAGCTCAGTACTGTTGAATTTAATCTCGGCTTCCTTGCACACCCTTTCCCCTCCTCCGCTCCCCTCCAGAAACCCCCATTCTTTTTCTTCAAGGTGGGGGGGGGGGAGATTTTGAACCTGAATCATCCAAATAACAGTTTCAGTTTTCTTTTCAGCCATACCTTAAAGTTGAGAAGGGTTGCCCTTATTCCCACTTCTACTTCTCATTTCTGGTTTGAAGCAGGAGTGGAGAGTTTGGAGCAGGTGAAGGCATGCATCCTGTCCCCAGCTCCCTGGCTTCATTCTTAGAGCTGAATCCCTGAAGAGCTGGGGATTCAGTAAATTTCCAGGAGCAGATGCCTAGAGAAGCCAAGCCCCTTCTCAGACTCCACCTCTGTCCCCTCCGTCCCCTCTTTTTCCACTTCTCCACGAGCTTTTGATCAGCTGCTGGCCATGTATGCCATTCCACAGGGCCTTTAAAATAAAGACCATCCCTTTGAATGGTATAACAGTTGCTTTCATTTATTCACTTAACACATTGTATTGATCATCTCTTAAAGACAAGAGCTCGTGCTGGTTACCACAGGGGATGCAGAGAAGAGTAGACCGTGAGTTGTGCGTGCTATTGTCTAGTGGAGATGAGACAAGAAAACACATATTAAAAAGGCTTCCACACTGGTGATTCCCAAGTGAAAAAGGCCATATTTGGGACCAGGGTGGGTGGGTGGTGGAGGAGAGAAAGAGGAAAAATCGAGTTTTAAAAAAAAGGCTTCCGTGGAAAAGGTGGCCTTTGAACTAAGCCTTGAAAGATGAATGGGATTTTTACAGACGGTGGGGGTGGGGTATTGAGAGGACATAGCGGCATCTTGGGCAAAGAAAGAACTGGAACAAAGGCTTTCATGGTGTCTCTGAAAGATCCTTTTATGAGTCATGGTGGAATTACCTATACCAAATATTTTAAAGATTCAGAACTCTGTAATCATGAGGTGGTTTCGGTGACCGAGATAAGCTTTCCACAGTGAACTTAAGTCAAAATTGTATCTAATCTCCCTTAAATATAGACACATGTTAGTTACTGGGGAGAAAGTCTGTTGGACTAAAATAGTAAATATTCAGATCTCTCTCTCCTACTCCTCCGCCCCATAGCTTCACATGGCCCAGAATCCATTTCTTTTTGTTCCAATAGGCTTTCTACTTTATATTCTTTCCAAGTGAAACCTTTGAAGTTGTAATAAATGGATAGTATCATACTCATCAATTTGTTCAATGAGCATTCACAGAGCATTAGGCAGCCTCTAGGTTAGGTGTCAGAGAGCAGTTGCTTTCAAACGTTTTCTACCATGACTCACAGTAGCAAGTATGTTTAACATTGCAATCCACCACATCATTTGTGTGCACACAGACTCATAACTGAAACTACTGTCACAAGTAACACTTGCCTGCATTATGGGAGAGGCACTTTGATATTTTATATTATATTTTTTAAAAATTCCTTATCCATGGGTTGAAACCTGTAGTTTAGGAGGAAAAAAATAAAATCTACTGTAGTAATGCAAAGGAAACTGGATTTGTAGGGAACTTGAAGGAGAATAAGCCATCCAGATAAGTATTTGCTATAAGCAGCTGAGGCTGCCCTGTTGAGGGGGAGGCAGGCTTCCTTGGTAGCTCCACCGGCAAGAACTCGCCTGCCAAAGCAGAGACGTGAGTTCTATCCCTGGGTCAATAAGATCCCCTGGGTTGAGAAGGAAATGGCAGCCCACTCCAGTATTCTTGCCTGGGAAATCCCGAGGACAGAGGAGCCTGGGGCCTACAATCCATGGGGTCACAAAAGAG